GTTTATAGGTTTGTCGTTGTTCTTCTACAAAGTTCGTGATGAAAGAAAATATTTATTTATTTCGACTTCGTTTATTTGTTTGTTGTGGCCAAATAAAAAGAGGTTGCGTGTTGGGAATTGTTCGCCCATTTTCTCCTCAACTTTTACGACATCCTCGTTTGTCTCCTTCCAATTTTGCTTTTTCTTTAATTAAATTCGTTCCCTCTCAGGCGGAAAATTATTATCTGTTGCTTTCAGCATTTTAGCGAGAATAAATTCTTTTTACTATTGATGACTAGATTATTTAAGAAACAAAATAACCTTATGTGTACATTTTATTGCCATATCTCTAATATTTTTACGTATGAGGACGAGTAGTAAAGGCTGCTTTTTTCGGTATTGACCACTCTTTCAGTGTGCATGCATAGCCAGTATATATAAATAGTATACATACACTATTAATATAACTATATACATAGTATAATTGTAGCTTCATATGATTTGTGTGTTCATGATATTTTTGTTTATAATAAAAATTATATAAACTAATTCTTAAAATAATGGTTGTAGCGAATAACGGAATATATATTTTTTTTTAATCCGCGCCGTACACCTTGCCGCTAGTGGGACCCGCATAACAATTATGTATTGCGTGTTAGTCTAATCGAACAGACTCCTGAATTCTTTTTTTCATGGCATTGGCCAGTCTTTTTTTTTATGTTTTACTTTGAACAAAAAAAACTACTTTGTAAAAAGCAATTGTAATAACGTTAAAATAAGATTTTTTTTTATTTTAATTTATTTTCAGTTATTTATTGTTTGGGATTCCAAGTAACTATTTCTAAGTATGTTATATACGTGCTTAATCAAATTTTGTTATTTCTGGGAAAGAAAAGACCTCGAATTTGCTCGACTCTTGTCATACCTGTCAGCTACTTTCTTTTTTTTCGAATTTTAATATGAACTACAATGAAAATCGGTTAATTAATCGTCGAGTATTCAGTGTATTACGTAAAATTATCTTACAAAAAAAGTTTTTCATGTAAGAAATCAGTTTCCGATATTAACGAAGTTTAAATTACATAGTTTACTTGATATGGATAGCAATGTATAATAATATAATCGACGATTTAATAGAGACGTACATGATATATATTTTATTTTAATATGTCGTTGATAGCAAACTACATTTCACACGAAACCACCTGTTATGTGCCAGACGAAGTGGCATGGCTGCAGATTTTGAATAGTTTTATCATTATAAACCGCCGCAACAACTGGGGACGGAAAAAATGTCAAACTAGTATGACCGATGCAAGCGAGAATAAACGGACCGCGACCAAAAAATGCAATTTGTAAATGCATGAGCAATGCATCGCAAAAGTGAGCGATTTGACATGCCAGCAGATTAAATCGGACAATTGTAAATAAAGTGAGATGATCCTGAAGTCCTGACTCATTTAGATCCACCTCTTCTTTATTTAAATTGTAAGTGGGTTGATATTGTTATTTAATACTATCAGGCAGTCATTGTTTACTAAATTCGGTATCACGATATGATAAAATAAAAATAAAAATAGACATAAATAAAAACAAACTTCATAATACATCGAAGATATCAGAACTACGAGAAAAATAATTCACAAAATAGTGTTGTAAAAAAACTTCAAAAATGTGTTTTTTTAAAAACCATTCTAGTACAAAGGTTTGGAACTAGGGATTTAATCATTTAAATGGCTTTTCGCTTTTTGTTGCGTCTGCGTAATTTTTATGATTTCCAATTACAATACTGATCATAATGTGTCATTTAATTCTTACCCCCCCCCAAAAAAAAAAAAAAAAAACAAGAATTATAGTGATTTTACTCATTTTTTGTTACTTAATCATCATTGTAAGTACATCTTAAACTTAAATTTTTCTGAAATCAGAGGATGTTTTACAATTTAATCAAGGATAGCTCTCTTTGTAGTAAACCGTGGCACTTGAACGAATACCTCTTTTTTTCTACGCATGCTTCTACTAGTATTTCAAAAGTTTTATAGAATTTGAAAAATGTAGCAATCTGTGGAAAGTAAAGTTCAGACAAAGTCACAATCCGCCGTGAGCCTTGCTCACGAATCAATCTGACATATTTACCCATATTCGACTAAAGGAGTTATGCAAGGAGAAAAACTCAATAAAAGTATTAAAGTTGGTTATTATATTCTGAATCGATGATCAATATTTCTGTTAAAATCGAAGCACATGGCACCTGTATGAAGTTTAGGTATAAGTCAAAGCATCAAATATAAAAACTAAACAGTGATAACTAAAGTCTGTACGAACAATGCTTCATCATAACTGATTCATTTTATACAAAAACACATGATCGAAAAATACTTGAAATGGAGATCTTTTAAATGACTGTAGTAGTTGTCAATAAGTATATACTGTCAATGACTGACTGATTTTCTACATCAAAAATCAAGTAATTAATGGGTTTGTACAGTGGGTTTTTGTATGTAGGCTTGAGTAGAAAGTAATATAAATAAAAAATCTTTAAAAGGTCATTTAGAAATTATAACTCATTTTTGTGGATTATAGATTGATTGAAGCTCTGTAGAGCGGTTTTCCCCATGACTATGAGCTGTGTCATACAGAATCCATTATCACTGATCTCCAAATTGTAGTCCATCGATCCATTTCTATCGAGACAGATAAAATGTTTACCAACATGAAAATTACACTCGTCTCTGGCGCCGTGCATTATTATCGATTAAATATTTCCGAACTTAATAGAGAGTAGAGGTATGTAATTACATACCACCAGGATAAAAATAAAGCAACGAACACGCCTTCAACATTAAGTATGTATAGAATTATGTTAAGGAACATTAAAAGCATTATATAAATTTTATATACAGCTTTACCTCCCGGAGCATCCATTTATTCCGGATAGGTCTATTTATCTCAGGAAGGACGTGAAAAATGTTTGCTCTTTAGGCGAATGTTCTTCGTAAGGCTGAGTGCTCACTCGTAATTTTGAGCTACAAGGAAAATCCATAAAATTGTGATGAAGCCGAAATGCCAGACTTTGTAAATGAGGAGTATCGATAATGATTCCAATCAAGTCGGTAATTAATTGTACTTCTGTTAAGATGTGTTGTTTCAGTAGTATTTCGCAATTTCTGATTTACCTTTTCCCTCCGATTTCCGTTTTGAGAAAGGAAGGAGCAATCCTGAAACCATAAGAGTTCTGATATCATTCTCTCTAATTGAGATATCATTCTCTCGAACTTGTAATGACCCTTCTTGAAAAAAGTTCTGCCTTAACATAGTCTACATCAGTAGCTAATTTAGCTGTTGGGAAATCTGTTTTGTTGTAAGGAATGGACGTTTGGACCAAGTGATAGCAAGTTTTGGATTTCTGGAAGAATGTTAGTTTTTGTTAGGTTTAGAAACCAATTGTGTTGTCAGGTGTTTGTTTCTTGATTAATTTGTTGCGTTTTGTGGTGTTTGTTTTTAATTTGGTCAAAGTGGAAATTGTATGCTTCTTTTTGATGTTTGTGGATTTTTTTAAAAATGTCTGTAGGTATTACGTTGGCGGCATTACTCAGTGTTTAATTGGTGTAATTTTAATGTTAATGCCTTAATGTTTTTAATGCTGATAGTGATTTCTATGTTTAAAATGTTTCTTTTGAAATGTATTGTGGCCTTATACAGGGTGAATTGCTACTCGTGCTACAAACTTCTCCAGTAGATTCTTCACCCTAAAATGAACAAAAAAGTTCATATTGTCCATGGTCCGATTCTCAACCATTTCAGAGTAATTTCGCTTTTTATNATAAAAAGCGAAATTACTCTGAAATGGTTGAGAATCGGACCATGGACAATATGAACTTTTTTGTTCATTTTAGGGTGAAGAATCTACTGGAGAAGTTTGTAGCACGAGTAGCAATTCACCCTGTATATGTCGTTAATTCTGGTGTTTGGTTGTGTTAGTGTGGCATTTGTGAAGTTAAAGTTGTTTTTGATGTGAGTAGGAAATACCTTGTGTTGTCTGCATTTCAAAAAAATTTCTCTGATTGATAGATTGATCATTGTTGGCGATGTCCTTCAGAATACTCTTTGCTTGGTGTCCATATGTAGTTGAAATCTTTTCATAGAATCCCATGTTCTTCGTTCTTCTGGTAGAGAAACGTGTGGTTTTAGTGACAGTTAGTTAATGATTATTTGAAGATCGTTAGATGCGGTCTGGTGTGACATAAGTTTTAGAAAAATATTTTCTTTACCTTATAGGTACAATAACGAAAATGTTTTTCTAAAACTTATGTCACACCAGATCGCATCTCACCATCTTCAAATAATCACTAACGTCACTAAATACCACACATTTCTACACGAGAAAAATACTGGAGATCATCTATTCTGAAGTCACAGATATACTGTACAAAGGCCTATTTTTACAAACGCTGAAAATAGAAAATTCGTTAACACAATCTTTATTATTCGATCATAATTCATTTTAGGTCATAACAGGGACTTAAGTCACAATTGTCTATTGACAAGTATTGATCTAAATTAACATATCTGATAAATAAATATTAAACTAATGAACTGACAGCAAAGCGGTACAAAAATTGACGACAGACAAATCGCACTTCCACTCGCTGACAGCTAACGGAAAAACGCTGATGAGGGAATAGACGATCAGCATTGATCACACTTGAAAGCACGCCATATTCTCGTACTTCACTCAAAATTTTCAAGTTGATCATTAAAAAAGCCGTGTATTGATAGTGTTTAGTTATTTACAAGTAGAATTAAAGTTGCGCTGTAATATAATCATGTCTGCTTTTGTTTTTTGGACAACCAGGCTCATAAATTGTCAAATATCTCCCTTTTTTACATAACATTCTTTATGTTAGTTTTTTTCCCAAGATAAACATTTTCTCTGCATAACAATCCGTGAAAAGCTCCCGGAGGGATGACCTTTTGAATTTTTTAAAGGTTGTTTAAGGGCAAAATAGAGTGGGAGATGGTATTTAGAAACACCGGTGACGGGGCTAGAAGGGAGAACGGCTTTCAGTGGAACATCGGCTTTCTTCGGACCAGGGTCCTCTGGCTCGACTCCGTCCATCTCTTATTGAGAAAGGCGTCCATGTCGTTTGATGCATGAGACATGCCAAGGGAATGTCAGCGCATAGCTAACTGCAATCACAAGTGCAAAGTGACTGTCACGCACATCGCTCTCGCCAAAACATCCACACCTCCTATGTGAGTGAATACACAATAATCTTGCTGGGTTCAATTTGAATGAAAATTTACAAGGAAAACCTTTTTTATTGAAAGTTACAGAAATATACGGCGAATGCTGCCAATATAATTGCTACAAGTTTTAAAAATATAACGAGTTTTTTAGTTGTAACTGGAGAGATTGAGTTTACCAGTAAATAAAATCCTCTACGTTTTGGCATAGATTTTAAATCTGCTGCGGTATATTTTGGATATGTTTTATCATTCATGGATCATAATTAAGCTGTTAACTGTTAATTCCTTTCATTGTTTTATCTATGTTTATTTAAGACTGCATGTGAAAGTGTAAGAAGAGTGAGCGCGTGTGTGTGTGTGAGAGAGAGAGAGAGAGTTTAAAAATATATACTTTAACAAATTAAATGGCTTTCAGTGGAAACATTCAACGTTTTCATCAACTTTTACTCCTAATTATTTCACTTAACTATTTCATTATGAGCATATTTTTATTGTAGGTGTGGTAGGAAATAACGTAATGATGTTTATTAACTGCCACTTAATCATTTATTCTTTATACAATTTATTTATCATTAATGTGTGGTGTTTAGTGACCGTTAGCCAATGATAATTTGGAGATTGTGAGATGCGGTCTGGTGTGACGTAGTTTTTAAAAAAAACATTTTCATTATCGTGCCCACGTTTTTTTTATTGAGATCATCTTTAGGGCCTGGGATTTATAAATATTGTTTAAATTTGACAATTTTTTCACATCCTACATGTATTTGTAAAATTTAAACTATGTTTATAAATCCCAGGCCCTGAAGATGATCTCAATAAAGATCGAAACGTTGGCTCGATAAAGAAAATGTTTTTCTCAAACCTACGTCACACTAGACCGCATCTCACGATCTCAAAATAATCATTAATCATTAATTTTTTCATTAGGCTAGCTGAACATTATAAATCATCCATATATGTTTAGCGGTCATAATTGACCATATTAATTATTCCAATTAATTATTACATTTAGCTAAGGACTTGATTGAGATGAAAAGGTGTCACGATGGGGATTTAAATCCGAAGGTCGTGGGTTCGAATCCCGCCCGTGACACTTTTATTCTCAAAGACCTTGGGTAAAAATAATAATTAATTGAATTAAAAATCATTGTGATCAAGCCTAGCATACTTATGTTTTACAGTACATAATGATTGATCTGAGTTAGAGTAGTAGATAAACGGTAGTGAAAGATGGTATGTCAGACCTAATAGTTTCATCATATAATCGTCATCAAGGGCTTATATAATTAATAAGACAAATTGTTATGTAGATTGATTGTTCCGGATCATCCTGGGACATATACTCAATCTGGTGTTTGGTGTTGGTCGTACTAGGTCTAAAACATATTTATAGAGAACAAGAAATTGGTTTTTACCCTGATCACCAGTAAAGAATTTTAATCTGTCTTTCCAGTTGAAATTAAGCTAGCCAACAACTGCGTAACATGTTTTTAGGACAAAGGATTCAATTTTGACTAATAAACCAAGAAAAGGAACTACTAAGCCGGAAGTGGCACGGATTTTTCAGGTCGAGAGGCTTTACGATTGTGAGATTATCACCCTTTGCAATAAACCAGACCAGGGAACCTCTGATTACTACATATCATCGCTCATAACCCACTTGTCCCGTTGTGTATCCGTTTTTATTACCGACGGCTTTAATTTTAAAGCGTGGAATTTAAAGTTTCTTTTCTTCTCGAAGACTTAAAACGTGTGAATAGAAAATTCCGTTTTCGTCAGATGCCTGTTGTGATTTTCCTGTAATATTCATCAGAATATGTTTTGACCTACATGTATACATAACTTTCACTGATGAAAAATAGACGCTTGCTGAATCTACTCAATTAGGAATCTAGCCATTCTGGTTGGTCCAATTTCAAAAGATTTATTCATTATTATTTATTATATTATTGAAGTACATATTATGTGATCAGATCATTTTTACAGCAATAAGCAATATATTATTTTTATTAATACTAGTTCTCTCCAGAATTGGAAGAAAGTTGCAGTTCAATTAATGAAAACAACGAGCAGATTGACAGGATCTTCGTATGGAGAAAACTGGTTTAAGAGGTAAAATATGTTGATCTGGGTCGTCCGACTTTTTAACAGCTACAAAAATTATTCATGAAATCTGTCGGCTTTAAACAATAAATTCACACCTTTATCGTTATTGGATAGTTGATTTCAAAAGAAAAAATGCTGGTAGTAACCCAATTTTCGGATGTATTGTAAAATACATTTTTTTCCCGTGGGGTTTATCTATATTTTGAATCAATCTGTTTTCAAAGGCATTTAGTCCAACGAATGTTAAAAAAGAGAATATAATCACTTTCCTCCCTAGTTTCCCCGGTTCGACATTGAAACTCCTAACATTCACTTTCACGACTGGAAATAAATTGACTTTAAGAGATCTGGTTTTTGCCCTCTTTGTTATTTATCTGGAATCGATTAAGGCCCTTTCTTATTTCAACTTCCATAAAGAGTACCGTTGGGCGTACATTTTTTCCCCTCCGGCGGCGGCGGCAAAGTCATCTTCTGTAATGCGTATCGCAACTTGTTTCGCGTCCCTTATCGACTTAAAAGTCGTAAGTCATGCCTGGAATCAAGCTCCTGATTGCCAATCCAGCCACATTCCCGTTTGCCGACAATCATTCCCTGACCCGGGACATCCAGCTTTTACCAAATGATTTTTGTAAAAATGTCTAAACTCTTTTTTATTTTTTTAAATTAAACTTTCTCGAAAAAATGGGACTGTTGAGAAATTCAGAAAAATATTAACAGCACATCCAGCAGTTTTGTTTGACTGTTTTTACAAAACGACTGACCTAATTTTTATATTTACTCAATCCTCTAAAAAACAATGAGTTGTCAAACAACAAACAATTCCTACTATGTTTTGCTCTTAATTATACTAATTTAACATTTTTATCAATCTTTAAATTAATTTAATTACTTTCAGATTTCATGGATTACAACCAATTTAAGTTTCTTGAATACAGATAAGTAAGGTCTAAACGGTAACCCTTAAAACGGAACCCTTTCTCAATTAAACCGGTTTTTTTCCATTCTTCCTGTTGATTTACATTTATTGTCAGAATAAAAAAAAAGAAAACTGAATTCTTCTCTATTTACAGTTACATTTTGTCTGTTAGTTATGTGGATTTTTGTCTCCTTTTCTTACTATGCCCAATTGGTCTGGTTGTTGAAGGTCCAGGTATGTTTTTGTTTGAGTAATTTGATTTTTTTTAATTTACAAAAGCACGTCTTATGTATATTTTAGCCTTTGTTTGAATTTGACGGATATACACTTATTTGGGAATAAAAAATTCTCTTTCATCTAAAAAGAATGCTTTCACAGAAGGCGATTATATGGCGCGAAGTTAAGGTACAAAGAGGAAAAGGCAAGACTGCTACATTTCCACCGAATTTCGTCTTAGTACTTACCCCTATTTTTAAATAAGTGCATAGTTTTATGAAGCAAACCGTCATAAAAAATACATTATATTAACAATTTGCTTAAAAGTAATTGACTCTTTGCCATCCACTAAATTAATAAAACCTGTCTAATGAAAGCAGCGATAAACTACAATTCAACTTCCGTATCCTGCGAAATCCAGTTGTAAGATGACACATCAGCTGTCTGTCAATGAATATTGACTAGAATTTCTAAATGTTTGAATCCATTAAGGCTTTACGCTTTTCAGTGTCATCCTGCTTGGTATTATCCACAACTTCCAGACTAGGCTGCATTAGTCGAGATCAAGACGCTATGTAATCATCAACTTGTTATGTGAAGGACTAAAGGAAATCGTAGAGCCAGAAATGTTCAACAAAAATAAACCATAGCTGCCTTAGTCAGGTATTTGCCTAAAAATTGTTCACTGCTTGCCACCATCCACTAACTAAATAACCGCAGACCAAAGAACTTAAGAAACATAATTTCGCTGCAGGACATATCCCCAAATTTTTGCTTTCTTACCTAAAAGACAAAGATAGAAAGACATAATATAAGAAATTAGCAACGAAAATAAAAAATTTCTGAGAATTATTTATTCCTGCTGAACATCCATTCTACTGTACCTCAACAAGGACACCAACTTCCACTCGAGTCAGTTCTTAAGACTACATCTAGACAGCAGACTGATGTGAACTTACCATACAAGACTTAAGAAACAACTTAACAAAAGACTTAGACAACTATGAAGGCTTCTAGGACGCCCGTCATGGTTTCCCGAGACGTGGTGTTGTTTTTGAAATATTTCTCCGTCCATGCCCAGAATGACTTCAAAATTAACAGATCTCATTCTTACGAAATTCCTGAAACCCATATCATATCATTTCAATTTTAACAGGAGTTTCAAAACAACTTGAATTCCACCGGAAAATAAATTTGTTCGCAATTGCCGTTTAGGTTTACGCCTTTTCTTATTTACTAACATGAAATTTTGCAAACTCAAATTAAAATTTATACGCGTGACCAGTCCCGAGGGACCCAAGTGCGGGGACAAAGCGGAGCATTGTTGCTAGGTGGGTCCCAGTCTTTAAGGATAAGTTTGCTACACTTTGATCCAATATTTTTCCATATGCGGAGAATATATACAAGTCCGAAGGGCATTTTACATATTCTGGGTTTGGTTTGTTTGTCTGACTGTATATGAACTAGTTCTTCATGTACGACGGTCTTAGTGTGTATATAAGTTAAGTTTATATAAATAGATATATTTTCGGATGGTGTGTATATAAGTGTTTTATTGCGATGTCTAAATAAATGTGTGCACGGGCGTCGGTGGCCGCAACGGTTTAGGCGTTGACACGGTGTTCATCACAGTAAAGTAAATGTCTCGGGTTCGAATCCAGCGGCCCTGCATTAGACAAATGGGATTTTTTCAAAAGCACAGGCACCCCGAGGGTTGATATAACTCCGCTGTTGCGAACTCTCGTAAAATAAAAATAAAATAAAAAAAGAAGAAGAAAAATTGAGTGTATACACATTTATAATGTGTGTATAAATCTATATTGTTAGTTGGGCTTGTAGGTTTCCTTCTGATTCCTTATGTGTAATTTTTATGTGCTTTGTTTTCGGTTTACGTAAATCTGTTGATTTGTTTATTCGTGATTTGTAACTTAAACTGTTTGTGTGATTGTCATTGCACATGTTTTTTTCTTGTGTGCTTCTCTGTATTTATTTTTTAAGGTTTGTTTAGGGTGTATACTCATTCAACTTTAGTTTTTCCAATCCGCGAAATGTTCGACGTGCCCCAACACGCAATATACCGAAATTTATGGCTTTTCTAAGCGCACGTGGCCACGTTGTAAATTTTATGAAACTAGTATTTTTTATGTCTTCTGATTTTATTTTTTTTTATTTTCACAGCACCCGGCGTACAAGCGGAGGTGGTGTTGTCGTCAGAACAGGCCCTTCTCCGAACCTCAACCCGAGCGCGAGGGCTCCGACAGTCAACGGAAATTCGACGCCGCCACTCAACGAACAAAATAAGGTGAGTCCATCCCTTTATAATTCGTTTTTCTTGTTCAAACACTACTTTGTTGTATTAGTGAGCCACTGCCACGTACCCCCATGACGATAGGTAGGGTTAAGACATGACAAAATTAGGAAAGGTTGCCTTTTCCCAAACCTATTCTACATTTTTCATATGATTTTTAAGCCATCAGCCACTCTTCTAAAGGAGTATTGCAAGAAATTAAAAAAACCGAAATAAATAAATAAATGTTTTCGGCTACTATTTCTAAAATTACTGACCACACAGTTATTTACTAGCAGAACATTACGTTTTAACGCAAAATCAAATAGGAGCAGTTCATGACAACGAATCATGATGAGATTGAGTGAAATGTTATTAATTATTTAAAAGCCTTCAGCCACTTTTCTATAGGAGAATTGCAAGAAATTTAAAAAAAGTAATGTTTTCGCGTATTATTTTTAACATAAAATAAAATAGGAACAGTTCATGATCGTTGCAGTAGCTTGATGTCCTGTTTACTAAAGATAAAATTAAAAAAAGCCGGCTTTACGCTTATGCAACCCCGCAGGACCGAACTGTTGTGCTGGCTTACGCAGTTGCAGATTGAAAGATGAGTTCTTGCCTTTTTATCCATTTACATCGCTTCCATTGCACTGATTAATTAAGTTTTGGTTCTCTCTCTCTCTCTCTCTCACACACAAGTACACACGCACGCGCGCAACCCCCTCTCTTTCTCTCATAATTATGTAAAAACGAATTAGTTACTGGTGGGATGTTTTACAGTAATGATTGTTAACAATGAATCATGATGAGATTCAGTGAAATGTCATGAATTATGTAAAAGCCTTCAGCCACTCTTGTAAAGGGGTATTGCAAGAAATTTTAAAAAAGTGATGTTTTCGCCTATGTTTTTAACGTAAAATCAAATATGAACAGTTCATGATCGATGCAGTAGCTAGAGGTCCTGTTTGCTAAAGATAAAATAAAAAAGCCGGCGTCAGCCTTATGCAAACCCGCAGAACCGAACAGTTGTGCTGGCTTACGCGGTTATAGATTGAAGGATGAATTCTTGCCTTTTTATCCATTTACATCGCTTCCATATCACTGATTAATTAAGTTTTGGTTCTCTCTCTCTCTCTCTCTCTCTCTCTCTCTCTCTCACGTACACACGCACGCGCGCAACCCCCTCTCTTTCTCTCATAATTATGTAAAAACGAATTAGTTTCTGGTGGGATGTTTTACAGTAATGATTGTTAACAACGAATCATGATGAGATTGAGTGAAATGTCATTAATTATCCATAAGCCTTCAGCCACTCTTCTAAAGAAATATTGCAAGAAATTTAAAAAGTAATGTGGCTACTATTTTCAAACTTGTGTGTTGTTTGTTAATGAAGGCTTAATTATTCACGTTACAGATTGAAAAGAATCTTCAAAATATTCTTATGAAGCAGATAATACGTTGTGACAAAACCATGAAGTTAGTCGTAATACTTATTTCTTTAATTTAAGTATAAATATAATAACGGTATATTTTTCAATGGAGCACTCACAACAGCTAGGCTTACTCTATTAAGGCCTTTTTGAAATAATTTAGGTGATAAATTACTAACCTCATTTATTTATAAGCAAAAATCTTTTTTTTTACGTAAAATCAAATATGAGCAGTTCATGATCGATGCAGTACCTAGAGATCCTGTTTATTAAAGATGAAATAAAAAAACCGGCGTCAGCCTTATGCAATCCCGCAGGACCGAACTGTTGTGCTGGCTTACGCGGTTGCAGATTGAAGGGTGAATTCTTGCCTTTTCATCCATTTACATTGTATCCATTGCATTGATTAATTAAGATTTGGCTCTCTCTCACATATACGCGCGCGCGCGTACTCTCTATCGCACGCACGCGCCCCCTCACCCACCCAAACACACACACACACCCGGGTTGTTAGACAGTTTTGATGATAACAATAATACAGAAGAGTACGGCAGGAATTATTTTACTTACTTTTTTCTACTCTATTTAGATTATCAATTAGGACGTTGGACCTTAATATCTAAGGCATAATTCACTAGTAGATGATGGGGTTTTGTCTGCGAGTTGGCAACAAAAAACCCGCGAGTAAAGACAGACCCCAACCGTGTGTCGGTTCAACATAATTCACTAGGTTTACAGCTACCTGTTGGAGTTTTGGAATTGATGTTGCCAAGCGTGCCATGAAATGTCGTTAAGGCATTTTATTACAAACATACGAATACTAGGTGTGCAATACATGTTACTATTGCTCTTTAAATAGCATTCAGTTTTCATATCGTAGGAGTACATGTTACGTACTTTAACCTTACCCATAAAGTTCATCGTTGTATTTATTATTTATAAGCTTATCACTTCTTTAAATGAGAGAAAACGAATTGTGAACTGGAATAAAAAGGCGTACAACATTGATGTTTCCGAATATTCGTTTAAAATGCTTTTCGAGCTGGAAGCTGTTTTGAATAATCGGCCTGACGTTAGGGAAGCGTAGGAGATCTAAAACCGTGATAGTTAATTGCAGACATACTCCTTCCTCTGAACGCCGCTCCCTCTTCTCTCCAGGAATGTCCACGAATAGTTATGGCGTGTTTTTCTACCGTGTGGGTGGATAAGATACTCGTGTTATAGCGCTTTACGGAAATATATATTTATGATTTGTTGATTTCCTTTTTCCTCTATTGGCTTTGTTGGGCTTTGTTTGCATACACAACTGGTAGAAAGATGCGATCAACGATTTGTAAAAAATTGGAAAGAATATGGCGAGATGGAAATAGACTCTTACAAGCCCAAGTTATAGTTACAAATCTACCCACAAATGTGATTTATTTAGGGTAATTGAACCGTAGCTACAATTAATAAATCATTACATGTCGAATATGTATTAATATTCGTAACTTTCGTAATTTTGATGTCAAAATAGTTAAAAACTTTTGTTGTAAGATCATTATTTTTCAAATCAAATTTTGTTTATAAAACTATTTATCAGATATTACATAATTACACGTAAAAATGATTTGGTGATTGATTGATGATGATAATGGTAAACAATTGTTGCGAAATTTTGTTGGTAATGCACCTGTTTCTCATCTTTATAAACTCTCCTATTATGAAACAAATATGTTTCTTCTGGAAATTATACATGAACAGTCATTGTTGACCAAGTTAAAATTTTCGCTTTCTTTCACAAAGGACCAACAAAAATAACGCACAACAGGTACTGAAAATGGCGAAATGTCTGACATTCAACATCAGCGAGAATTTGAGAACCAGGACGATCAGAGGTCCTCCTAACTTTCCTGTTGTTGAGCATGGCGAAAAACACCCCCCCCCCCCTAAGACTAAGCCCTAAGAAATATCTGCAACAAAATTAGAAAAAAAAAAAACTTTCTTCTTCATCAGGAATTTGAAATATAATAAGATTGTTATTCAGATATCGTGAGATGCGGTCGGGTGTGATGTAGGTTTCAGAAAAACATTTTCTTTATCGTGCCAACGTTTCGATCTTTTATTGA